ATCGCTTTTTTCCCCTTAAAAATCGCTTTTTTCCCCCCTTAAAATTTGCTTTTTTTCCCCTTAAAATTCGCTTTTTTCTCCCTTAAAATTCACTTTTTTCCCCCAAAAATTCGCTTTTTTCCCCCTCTTTTTCTTTCTGTTCTCCTCCCTCGGTGTCGGGATTCTCTCGGTGGAATTTGGGGACCCCTCCCCAAATTTTGGGGCTCCCCCTCCTCTCCCTTTGCTGACCCCCCCCCTCTTTTCTCAGTGTCCCACCCGCTGGTACTGGAAGTTGGTGCCCGTAAGTGGGGGCTTTTCTCTGTCCCAAAATCCGCTTTTTTCACCCCAAAAATTTCACCCCCGCCTGCTCAATCCCATCCCAAATTTTTTGGGGGGGTGGGAGTGGAAAAATCCCCCCAAAAAATTTGTCGGGAATGGATTTTTTATCTCCTTAAAATTGGGAGTTTGGAGGGATGATGGGGGGAAAAAAAATGGGGAGAAACGGAGGGAAAATGGGAAAATAAATTGGGAAAAAATTGGGATAAATTGGGAAAAAATTGGGGATGAATTGGAAAAAAATTGGGGATAAATGAGAAAAAAATTGGCAAAAAATTGAATTTTTTTTTCTTTTAAATACAGGAAAAAAAAAATGGGAAAAATATTTGAATAAAATTCCAGAAAAATTTAGGAGTTTATGGGATCCTGCCCAAGTTTTCGGGGATGGATTTAATTTCATTGGATTTAATTATAATTAAAAAAAAAGAAACCTTCAAAAAATTATGAAAAAAAATCCCCAAAAATGCCAAAAAAATTCAAAATAAATTAAAAAAAATCCCCAAAAATTCCCAAAAATTTTTAGGGATTTATGGGATTTTCCCCCAAATTTTTGGGGGGGTGAAGCCCCCCCAGCATCCTCCCCTCCCCCCCTTTTTTCTGTGTCTTGCGTCGAAATTTGGGAGGGAGGGGGAGGGGCACAAAGCTGCATGGGGGGAGGGGCATGAAATTGGGGGGGAGGAGCATGAATTTGGGGAGGGGGAGGGGCTTGGGGACCCCCCCTAAATTTTTTGGGGACCCCCCCAATTTTTTGGGACCTATTTGGGGCTTTTTTTTAGGATTTTCTCCTTTTTTGGGGCTTTTTTTTAGGATTTTTTCTCCTTCTTTGGGGCCTTTTTTGTCATTTTTTCCCCCCTGTTATTTTGAATTTTCGGGGCCTTCCCATTTTTTGGGCTCCCCTCCTCAATTTTGGGGGACCCTTCCCTAATTTTGGGAGACCCCCTCCTCAATTTTCGGGTCTTTAATCCTTTTTTTCCCTTTTAAATCCCTTTTCTCCCCTCATTTTTTCCCATTTTTCCCTATATTTCCCCCAATCCTTCCCAGATTTTTTTTCTGCCCATCCCAAATTTTCTCTGCTTCCCATTTTTCGGAGCCCCCTCCCCATTTTTAGAGCCCCCTCCTTAATTTTAGCCTCTTCTTTCTTTTTTTCCCTTCTTTAAGTCTCCTTTTTTCTCCATTTTTTCCCATTTTTCTCCATTTTCCCCCCAACTTTTCCCCGTTTTTCCCCCAATTTTTCCCAAATCTTCACTTCCCCCCCCCTATTTTGGGGTCACTCTCCCCAATTTTGGGGTCCCCTAAAGTTTTTAGTGCCCCCCTTTTTCTCCACCCCCCTAAAATCCCCTTTTTTCCCCCATTTCTCTTCACTTCCCCCCCGTTTTTCCCCAAATTTCCCCTTTTTTTCCCCAAATTTCCCCTTTTTTTCCCCAAATTTTCCCTCCCCCCCCCATTTTTGGGGGCGCTCTTTCCATTTTTGGGGGTCCCCTGCCCGTTTTTGGGGTCCCCGGGGGGGTTTTGGGGACCCCCTGACTCTTTTTTTCCCACAGCACGCCATCGCCTTCTGTTTGAAGGAATCGGGGAATAAACCTCCGGTGGTAAGGACCCCCCCCAAAATCCAAAATTTGGGAAGGGGGCACCCCCTTTTCCCCCTCTCGGGCTCCCCCAGACCCCTCCCCAAAATCCCGGACCCCCCCCCCCAAAAAAAAAAATCTCACCCCAAAACCCAAATTTTGGGGGATTTTTAGGGTTTTTTAAAGGGGATTTTAGGGTGGGACGCCCCCCCAAAATTTTGGCCCCTCAAAAAATTTGGGGGTCCCCTCCCCTGCATGCGCCTGTTTTTGGGGGGTGGGAGGAATTTGGGGGGAGATTTGGGGGGGTCCTCGGGGGATTTTTTGGGGTCTTCTCGACCATTTTTGAGGAGAATTCCCCCATTTTTGGGGGGGGTTTGGGGCACCCCTTTTTGCTGTTTTTGGGGTCCTCAAGCCCTCCCCAACCTGGGGGGATTTTGGGGACCCTTCTCTTTTATAATTTTAGGAGTTTTCCCCCAATTTTAACTCCCTCCTTTGCTATTTTTGGGGTGATTTGGGGCAATTTTGGGATCCCCAAACCTGAGGGGCCTTTCAGGACCGTTCCATTTTTACTTTAAGGGGTGGCGGGGGGGGGGGGGTTTGGGGTTATTTTGGGGGGTTCCTTCCCC